ATGGTCAGAAAGTAATAACAGTTATTAAGAATGAAATCTAACTTGGTGGAGGAGAAACTTTAGAAACTTTAAAATCTTTAAAATTTTAAAGAATGCTGCGGTGGCCAGCATGAAAGTGACGGGTGAAAATAGCACCTGGAGCAAACAGACTTTATTTATGCGGTGAAATGAACGAGGAACAATGGATGATTTAATAACTCATGGCGCAGCAACAGCCTAAAATAGCTGAGACTCCACATTCTAACTCAGTATTTCTTAATATTTCATCCATGACTACATTAGAGTGAAGATTAAACTATTTGTTCAAAGTGTTGGCTATTTTTGATCCATCTTTGGAAATGGTCACCAGCTCCAGTTAAATATCACTGCATGTGTTCGGTATGGTAAATGACTTTAGTATCAGTGACAGATTGGAGGGCACAAAGAGTATCAAGGCGCCTGAATGCTGGCAGCCAATTATGTCCATCTGATAACTTCCCATAAAAGAGCCTCAATAACAGCCAATGCATTTGACTTGCCTTTTGCTGTGCTTCGTGTCCTGTCGTTCCCGACCGTCAAGCTGTGAGTCACACTACTGATGTTATGAATATGAATTTACCTTATGAATACTGGACTTAATCCCGTATTTATCTTTCAGTTTTTCTGAAAAACTTTGAAACCGCTGTGTAGAATGTAACCTTGGGTGATTATTTATGAGTAGATGAGATTCAATTCCCTATGAACCGGTTTGGTATTGTTTCTTTTTTTAAATTTTAAATTGGCTATAATCCTCACAGTTTAAATGTTACCTCTCACAGTATTGTAATGCTGTATAATAATCGTGAATTTTAATTTCAGCTTTCTGCTGTTATGACGCAACCAACAACTACAGCATACCTCTGAGACACTTCACCCTGTTAATTAAGCAGGCATTTATGCAAAGGATTTGAAAGATGCTTCTTACTGTTTTCACCTGTAATCTTTGTGGGATGTTGCAAGATATAAAAATATCACTCTGCCATTTTCCATTGGAACTCCTCATCTCACAGTAACAACAGCCACTTTTCTGCACCCCATGGCTTTTTTCCTTTGCACTAAAGCCCTGGAGGGGTTTTCATATTTTTATTGCCCATTTGATACGAAACAAGCAATATCTGTGTGATTTTTTTTGTGCCTTCTTTTATTCTAGTTTTCAAATTTTTAAAGGCTATAGGCCTCTCTTAATTTCATAGGATCTGTAACCCTCTTGACAATATCCCTGCTGTAGGTAGAAATGGATAGAATAACATGACTAGACTAATTAGTGATGGCAGTCCTGTGGGATAGATCAAGACCACCCTCAACATCTACTGTCCCTTTAGATTACAGGCATATGATGAGCTATAAGTGGCCAGATGGCCTGCTGTTGTTTTTATGCTTTCTTATACATTATTATATCATTGTGCCGCTTGTTATTTTTTTCCCTCTCATTGTTGCTGTTTAGCAGCAAATGCATCTAGAAGGCCTTCAAGTAGCTAGGCCGCTCATCTGAAGTGTCATTAGCCCTCTTGGTTCTTCCTCCTGTCTTAAAATTTCACAAAAAGAGCACCTGAAAAGCCCAGTGCAATAAAGGCAGTGCTTTGCAGAATAATTACACGTTACAGTGCCGTTTGGAAACAGGAAGAATTTGTTAATTCCACGTTAGGCTTTGCCTCACCTGTTTTTTTTACATTACTGGAACAATTGTGTGAGTACTGTCACCTGTCTTTTTTTTTTTTTTTTCGTCAGAATGTTTGCAGTAGCAGGGTAGTAGTCATGCTCAGGTACTTTGTGCTGCATGAGGGGTAAAGATTAATTAAGCTGTAGTAGTTACACATTAAAAGCCACTGCCCATTTATGTGGCAAGCAAGGAGTACACGTTCTCTTTGTCAAGGGACTGTCTGTGAGGCAACATCAAGGTTGGAAGGGATCTCAGCATTGTGAACAGGTAGGGCTCTGATTCGGGCTGGGTTCTGTTCAGACATTATACCTGAGAATGACACTGGGATCCTCAGATGTTAATTTCTTTTGTGTGATTTGTGTTGGGGAGAGTGGTGTGGGGGGGGAGCTGGGGAGGGGGTGATTTGCATTTACGGGTTATTTTACAGTATTTTTGGCCAGATGCTTATTCTCACTGCGGGAAAGAGCCATGGAACATGAGAGGAAAGAGAATGTTTTTTTTTTTGTTTTTTTTTTTTTTCTCTCGTCATTTTTGTTGCCAGTTTGGGTCTGTGTGCTCCGGGGGATGGGGTGCATGGGCTGAGAACAGCAGTCACATAATCAACACAAACCAAACGTCTGATCTTTTCGAGAGAGGCAACTGTAACATTCACAACACACAGCCCTCAGCCACAGATGACTGCGTGATATCACTGTGACATCGTAGAGGGAACCCATGACTGTTAAAGCTCATTAAGACTGAGTGGACACAAGTCAGCATAAGTATTAGAAAGGAATGAGCTCGACTACATGAGAGGAGCCTTAGTATGTGGTCAAGGTCTGTCCACAGACTGATATTGTGGAAGCATGCCTGTTTATTGCCAGGAAGGGGGAACCAAGGCAGTTGATTTTCACATTCACCTTTCTAAGAACATTTACCTAATTTAATTGCATGGTTGAGTTTTACCCATTTGAAGTCACTTTAACTGAGTGATTAAGTGTTGGACAAAACATAATTACCCTATTATGCTATCTACACTCCATTAAGTGTTATTTTACTGATAAAATGATCTTGCACAGCATATAAATTTGAAAAAAAAATTCTAAAAATGACATTATCTGCACCTTCTGCCCGATTAATCCCTTTTGAGGATGTGGGAAGATATGAACCAGATACGATAAAACAGTACTATTTTCAGCATTTGTAACTTATAGCTTTGATGTACTCAGTTATTTGGACCAGGGATAAGGCGAATCCCTGGAGGACCATTTTTAAACTTTCAAGTAACGGGAAAATTGAAAAAAGGATGTTATTCTTAAAAATAGTATGCTGAGACCCAAGCAGATTACAGAACATGACTTCAACCCTATGTAATGTCCAGAACACCCTAACAACCACCACTAATAATAATTGCTATTTAGTGTGCAATGAGAACTCCCCAACGCGTTGGATTCATGTCCTGTGAATTGAACAAAATTCCTATTCATTGAAGAAGGTGAAGTCAGGCATTAGGTCACACAGTCTGTAATTTCCTCAGCATTCCCTGTGTTTTTGTTCTTTCTCCCAACCAACATCCAGCATGGGTCTGGCTTATCCTTAGTGGGAGTACTTCTTAATTTTCTTAACTGTTACCTCAGTGTCCCATTTGTAATTGTGTAAGCTGTATGCAGTCATCCAGCCTTAAGCCTCTGGGGGTGTCATGGAGCCCACAGCCCGGTATGGAACAGTGCATTTTGCCATATGATTGGTAGCCAGGGTGTTTGTGAAGCCCTTGATTGGTCTGTGTTACATGTTGGTTTTTTTGTGCTTGCTGAAATATCACAGAAGCACCTCTACACTCACATTTGACAGAAGAAGAGAGGTACCTACATTTCAGCCAACTCGAGGGGCTTGTGTTCTGAATTTCCAGGAAAAGAGCCAGCAAACAACTGCCAGAAGAAGGACAAAGTTGGCTGTTATATAGAGTGCTCCACTTTGTAAAGTATTTGATGCATTAAAGAAACGAAAGGTTTCACCATGCAGTCTCAGACGTTTCATTGTGTGCATAGCGGTAGTTAGGCCTGACTGTGTATTTACATCCGTTGTCTGGAATCTGCCTGAGCAGTACCTTGGGCTGAAGAGCTGAAAGAACTAACTCGGAGGTGTATTGGCTGCATTCGACAGGAAAATGGTCAAGAAGTCGATCGTCGCTGGTCTGGTGGTACTGCTGGTGGCTGCGGTGTGTATCTTTGTGGGCGTCTTTTTCGGGGTGGGAAACAAGAGGACCCCTTCGCCTTCATCAGACCACTTCTACTCCAAGGCTGCGGTGGCGGCAGATGCTGGAAAGTGCTCCGAAATTGGGAGGTAAAAGAGCCCAGAATTCAGCCCAAGGACCTGAACACACACACACCCACACATTCACCCACGCACATCCTGACACCATTACACAGAGACAAACACATTCACGAACACTTAAATGCTGGCATAAATGCCATTTGCCAGAGATCTAAAACTTCAAAGAAGAAAAGAAAAGGGGTTTGTTAAGGGTAGAGTTTCATAGCATCAGAGATGATGGTATCATGCAAGCTGTGGGCCTTCGGTCTCTCTCTTCCTTCAGGTAAACTCGGCTTATATCTGAAAATTGTGCCACAGGCTAAACACTTATTGAAATTCAAAATGAAATCAACCGAATTTTAATTATTTTTGAGTCCCGTAGGCTGAATATATTTTCCTTGAGAGAAAAAAGTTCAGACTTCTCTACAATTCCCAAAAGGCATTCAAGCCTCCGCTAAAAATTCTAATGCTTTGAGGGGGGAAATATCTGAGTTTATGTAACAGCATTTTCAAAAAAACTGACTACAGAACTTCAAGAAAAGTTATCATGATACACAGGATCACAAATATAGAATTTGTTATGCTTAATAATTTGGATAAACCAAGTAATTGCCACCTTTACAAACACTGCATGCTACAATATATTCTTCTGTAATTATGGTCATCCTACCCATGTAACTTACCTTTTCCAATTGAAATGTGTTCAAATAATTTAAACCTATGAAACTAAATGTATGTCTACTACTACTAATACATGTCTACTACAATACAAATTTACATAAATGTTTTACTGGCCAGAAATAAAATCATAAATTCAAATGGTAAAACCTAAATACGTGTGTTTAGACAAGAAAATTTGCTGTTAAACATTGACAAATCTGTTTAAAAGTGCTCTGGGGTGTTGTGCGAGTTGAACATAGCTGTCAAAAGACCTTCCTGTAATTAGGAGGTTGGTAATGATGACCCTGGAGGGTGCAGAGTAATTCCTAGTATTTAGAGGGCGAGACGATGCATATGACCTGTCTACTTCCGCAGTATAGCATAGTAGTAAGGGGCAGGGCTTGTAACCGAGAGGTTGTGGGTTCAATTCCCCCTTTAGGGCACCACTGCTGCACCCTGGGGCAAGGTACTTAACCCACAATTGCCTCAGTAAATATCCAGCTGTATAAATGAATATAAAAATTGTAACCTATGTAAGGCTAAATGCCAATAATGTAATGCAATGTACTCCAAACCAACCCTGCATTTGTTCATTTTTCTGTGGAGCTCAAAGTTCTGCCTCACCCCCAGTGCAGCACCTGCGTGTGTGTGTGCTTGCGTGCGTGTGCATTTCTGATTCCAGGGACATCCTAAAGAGGAACGGCTCAGCGGTGGATGCCTCTATCGCCGCCCTGCTGTGCGTGGGGCTCCTGAACGCTCACAGCATGGGCATTGGAGGGGGGCTCTTCTTCACCATCTACAACGCCTCCACAGGTGCGTACCACCACCACGGGGGTCTCTCCGGCCCAGTTCCCTTCAGCTCAATCGTGTGAAAAAGGACCAAACGCCAATTTCGAGTTCTGTTTATTTTTTTGTGTTTGTGTGTTTGTTTGTTTGCTTTCTCTCAGGAAAGGTAGAGACCATCGACGCGAGGGAGACTGCGCCCATGAAAGCAACGGAAGACATGTTTGGCAATAACACCCAGCTATCCCGGAAAGGTAACGCTATTTCAATTATGCAACATACCATGGTCGTTTGCAAACACTGCTAAGCATTGTGATAATGCAGTACTATCTCTTTTCATGAAGGTTACCAGGGTGGGGTTAGGAGGGTGACCACAGGATAGTCTTTGGTGTTGAAGACTTGAATTTGCCTTGCTAAAAAGATGCCAATGAAAAACAATGAAAACCTGTCCCACCCCTTAACCCTGACAGAATATGCCCACTTTTGAAATTCTTGTCTGGGCCTGATTCCAAACAAGCAGGGACCCAACAGTTATGGGCAGTCATATGTCAACATTGCATATGATTGGCTGGTACAGAGTCTGCCTTCACAACCAGTAGTTTACCTTTCAGTTGTTAAATAACAAATCCCTCCAAATGGAACTTGAATCTGGAACTTTCTGGTTTTCTGGGGGAAGTCAGTAAGAACCCCATGGAAAGTGTTTAGTCGGCCATATACAGAGTCAACGCCTTGACAAGGCTAATTTGAAAGTGCTTTGCACTGAATATACAGCTAAACATTTTCCCTGGTTCCAATCCCCACTGAACCACCCAAGCTGTTGCTCATGCTCTACCCTTTTGGCTTCAAACAGACATAAATATACATCGGTGACAGAGGTATGCTTCATTGTGTAACTGCTCGGTAGCGGTGTGGTACAGCGTTTTAAGGAACGGGGTTGGAAAGGCCGCAGGCTTGATTACCATGTGGTGTCTTGCTGTTGTACCCTGGCTTGAGCAATATGCTGTGCCTGGATTGTACCTGGTACATACAATGATTTGAAGTTCAAAATGGGATGAGAATTTTCAGACAATCCCTACAAAATTAACGAAATTGAGACTAATCAGCCCCATCCATGATTATAAAAATTCCACTAACCACTTCCTCCTTCCATGTCAGCTGTTCATTGCACCCCCCCTCCACCCCATCTCCCCCTTCCTTTTCCCTGTTTACGACATCCAAATAGAGGGTTAACAACCTCAGCCTGTGGCCAGGTGTGATCCCTTTGTTAGACTTCAAGCAAAATATAAGTACCACTATGCCAACATCACTTACAACCTTCCTGTTTGACCGTATGGAAACTCATATCTACTGATGGTAACAAATATAAGCTATTGAGTTGGGGCAGCAGTGTAGCATAGTGTAGCATAGTGGTAAGGAACAGGGCTCATGACTAAAAGGTTGCTGGTTCCATTCCCCACTGGAGCACTGCTGTTGCACCCTTGGGCAAAGTACTTAACCCACAATTGCCTCAGTAAAAATCCATCTGTATAAATGGATAACATGTGAAAAAAATGTAAGTTGCTCTGGATAAGAGTGTCTGGTACATGACAATAATGTCATGCAATGTAATGAAGCAAGTATGTAATCTCATATAAGGTAATATAAAGGTGCAAAGATGCAGAACACTCCACGGGCGTGGAGAGAGCACTGATGAAGACCCCTTTGCTCTGTGTGTGCCGGCAGGTGGGTTGTCCATCGCCATCCCCGGGGAGATCCGTGGCTACGAGATGGCACACAAGCGCCACGGCAGGCTGCCCTGGTCGGAGCTGTTCGAGCCCAGCATCGTGCTGGCCCGCCAAGGCTTCCCCATAGGCAAGGCGCTGGCCAACGCCATCGCCAAGAACAAGGAGTCCATCATGAGTGACGTGGCTTTATGGTAAAAGTAGCACTCTGCGGCCTGTTGCCTGTCCCTGCAGGGTGGGGCTGGGGGCGGGGCGGGGTGGGGCACGGCATTCAGTCACGGTTTTGCGAAAACCGCCACCTTGCCTTTCTCAGAACTTAACGCTGTCGAATCCAAGAGATGACATTTGCGGGATGCAGGGGTCTCGGCACATGCGTTTTCACTCTAAGGCTAAAATCGTGCTCCTGACAAACGCAGGAGACACTTCTTTGTGAGCCATTCCCAACCCCTTTGTCATGAAGTGTACATTCTGACAGGCAGTAATAAAGTGTCTCCAGCAGAAGCAGTCAGAGTTGGTTCCATTAACTCCCCAGGCACGCACAGAGACTGGGGCACGGCGATTCTTATGACATTTTCTCTGTTCTTGTTTTTTTTTCTTATTTCAGTGAAGTGTTTTGTGACACACACAAAAACATCCTGAAGGAAAATGATATTATTAAATTTCCCAAACTAGCTGACACCTACGAAAGGATAGCAGAGGAGGGTCCAGACGTGTTTTACAATGGGACTATGGCACAGAGAATCGTGGAGGACATCCAGGCTGCAGGTCATTGTCTCTTTTGCTTCATTATTGTCTCATGTCACCAAAATGATTACGTGTCACACAGTAAACAGTAACGGGTTTCCAGGAGTTAACGCAACTGGAGAAAAGGCACAGTCTACCAAATCTTAAAATCTAACAGCTCTACAAATTTTTGCCAATTATTCTGCTACTGCACAGCAAATGCAGTTTGTAGTAATAATAACGATGATGGTAATAATGGGCATATCCAAAGTGCAACGGGTTCCAGCTGGCGTGTGGGCATGCAGCAGCTGAATCGGGACCGTTGTAGTCCGTGGTCACGTGACTCTGCGTTCCAGGTGGTATTATAACGCTGGAGGACCTGCTGCGCTATGAGCCTCTGCTGAATGAGAACCCACTCAAACTGAAAGTGGGAGAGTACACCGTGTACGTCCCGGATGCCCCCTCCAGCGGACCCGTCCTCGCGCTCATACTCAACATAGTTGATGGTAAGGAGCCTCTCCCACTGTTGTGCTTCTGTAATGTACAGACTGACATGTAACAATGTTGGGCTTGTACCCAGAAAGGTTGCTGGTTCGATTTCCTGCTGGGGCGCTGCTGCTGTACCCTTGGGAACTTAACCCATAATTGCCTCAGTAAAAAAACAGCTGTATAAATGGATAAAATAAATGTAAGTTGCTCTGGATAAGAGCGTTTGCTAAATTACAATAATGTAATGTAATCAGCTACCTTGTGTGTAGAGGCTATTCAATTAAAAAAAGGATGGGAGGAGGGGTGGTACTGTTCGGGGGGGTTATTACTTGCAGATTCTTCCAGTAAGGAGAGGGGACCATATTAGAGGTCTGAAGATTACAATCTGTTCTCAGTCAGAACAGACAGACCAGTTGGTACAGTGGCAACAAGGTCAAAGTTGCCTTGTGATTAACACATTCAATGACACAAAGGGTATTTTTGCAATTACAGCTATGATAAGTGACCTCAGAGTTTTAGAGTGCAATTTTGATTGCCTGCTACATTATCTACTGACACCTGAGGGGTGGGAGGAGGGGTGCTTCTGATGTGCTTATTTTCCTGTAGATACATTTTAGTCCATCTGCACTGGCATTTCTCTGATAAATTTGTGACAAAACTGCAGGGGAACAGTACAGTACAGTACTTGTCTGAAAGTAACATATGCAGTACTGGTCAAACGTTTGGACACACCTGATTAAGATAATGGGAAGCATGCATTCAAAGACATTTTGATCTAAAGACTTCTGCGAAAATCCTTGAAATTTGTTTCTAAGACAAATAGTTGAGACCTATGTATGAATTTCTTTCCCAAATCCGTTATTTAAAGAAATGGCTGCTTTGAAGAATCTAAAATATAAGAGTTTGTTCAACACTTTTTGATCACAGCATAATGTTCAACACTTTTTTGATCACAGCATAATTCCATTTGTGTTATTTCACAGTTTTGATGTCTTTACTATTATTCTAAAATGTGGAAAATAGTAATGATAAAGAAAAACCCTTCTATGAGTAGGCGTGTCCAAACTTTTGACAGGCGCTGTGTGTTAACTGGTTTAGCAGCGTTAGCGGTGCTGGTGAACCGTTCTTTCAAGCGGCCGCCTCGCTGGTGCTCTGTGGATGAAGCAGTCAGCACCAACAGGATTAGCGCACCCTCCTCTTATGCTGCAACACCACCCACCCTCTCTACGCCTCCTCGTCTCCCGCACAAACACTAATCCAGCTAATTTGCCGTTTACAGACAGGCTGCTTGTGGTGAAGATCATTAACTGAAGCCCGAGTGGCCTGATTTGCCTCTAATTGACCATAAATGAGTAAAAAGGAGAAGGCGCTTTTCAAAACCCTGCTCTGTTTGCCTCTCATTTGGGACGCTCGTTATGATTTTTTGCATTTGAGACTCTTATCTCATCAGACATTAGTCAAAACCTGCATTCATCCCTTTTACTTCCTAAAATCCTCCTCTGGAAGACACTGTGTCCAAAGAACGCCTTCACTCTCTGGCTCTGTATTGATGTAAGTGTATGAGGTGATATGGTGGGCCTAGGCTTGTGATAAGCCTGGCTGAAAAGTGACAGGAAGTACATGGCAGCTAATTTGTGTGATGCTTTTATTTCCAGGCTATAACTTCACAGGTACGAGCGTCTCCACTGCGGAGAAGAAGACCCTCACCTATCACCGAATCGTGGAG